CCGAATGGCAAGTAGAACTATAGACTACTCCACGAGTCTTTCTTAGGAAATACAGTAAGATAAGTGATGTGATTGGTAAGGGCTGGGGAAGGGTTATGGAAATGGGTGTTTTTCCTGTTGTTAGGGAACAGCTTAATTAAGGACACTGTTAGAACATTTTTTTCAAGTGAGAATGAGTGCAAAGACGTGTGCTCAGAAAGTCTCCCTGTTGTACCAATGCCAAGGTGTAGCTGCTCCCAGCAGGCTGAGCTGCACTGCAGGGGTGCTTACCCACGCCTCTGCTTTTCCTGGACAGCGTGCCTGGAGCACTAGGCTCCTTTTCTGTGCTTTGGAGATGGGTGCCTGTGTTCGGACACAGCGAGCAAGCTGTTGTTCTCTTCTCTATGCAGAAACAGTCCAAGGATGTTCCTGCAGAAATTTGTCCCATGGATTTGAGTCCAAGCTCTAGTATTCAAACAGAATACTTTTTCTTAATCTCTTTCTGCATTGGATGCAATCTGACTAAACAGTGTGCCTTTGGCACAGGCTGTTCCATGTCACTGAAGAGGCTTCAGAAGGCGTGAACCCCCTCCTTGCCATAGCGTGTGCGTCACTGTTGTCCCTTTACTCTAGCGCTGAGCATTGCAATGGATTCCTCCAGCTGATACTTCCAAGTCATCGGTGCCAAACTGAATCTTTTGACTGCTGGCACAGCAGTAGTAGTTTGTTGGAAAGATCGTGAAGAATATACTTATTTAAAATGGAAAACTAAAAATGTCATGTAATATTTTCCCAGGAGTGCTACGCAGACTGTTGTAAGAAGTGCTCTCTTTCTAACGGAGCTCACTGTAGTGATGGACCCTGCTGTAACACCTCGTGTCTGGTGAGTGCTGCTGCCGTGTCTCTCTTGTTCCCTGCCGTTGTATGTGCAAGTCGCGTGCAGCTGGCTGCGGCTCCAAGTGTGTTTTATGTAGAGTGAAAAGGAGTAGCTTAGGAGACATAATCTCAGTCCTGAATTATATTCCTCGTTTTCTAGTTTTTCCCACGAGGCTACGACTGTCGGTACGCAGTGAATGAATGTGATATTGCGGAGTTCTGTACTGGAGATTCAGGCCAGGTGCGTATGCGGCAGCTTTCTGTGCTTACACTATTATGTTTGTTTGCGCTCGTTTTTGTAGCAGTTCAGGAGGAAAATGCGGATTAACAAACTGCACACTCATATACCCACAAATAACTGGGGGGCAGGGTATCTTTTAATCCTAAAAAAACTTTTTAAACATAAGAATTAAACTTTCACAAGCTCAAAAAAAAAAGTAAGCGGACTCAAAATATGGCTTTTGTAGGTTTATTTGTGTTTTAAAACTCGGGGTTTGCATGTCTGTATAGTGCTTGTGTCAGACATCCTCCTTCACTCTTCGCTTGGTCTGTAGCGTAAGTACCAAGAATATACTGCAAATATGAACAGATTCAGAGGTAGGAACAGTAAGATTTTATGAAATAAAGTAGTTTAAAATATAAATGTAGGAAATTAGAACTAATTGAGTATAGAATCATAGACTCATTTAGGTTAGAAAAGACCTTTAAGATCATAGTCCAACGTTAACCCAGCACTGCCTAGGCTACCACTAAACCGTGTCCCTAGGCACTACATCCACACGTCTTTTAAATCCCTCCAGGGATGGTGGCCCAACCACCTCCCTGGGCAGCCCGTTCCAATGCCTGACAACCTGTTTGGTGAAGAAATTTTTCCTAATATCCAACCTAAACCTCCCCTGGCACAACTTGAGGCTGTTTCCTCTCATCCTATCACTTGTCACTTGGGAGAAGAGATGAACTCCCACCTTTCAGGCAGTTGTAGAGGGCGGTAAGGTCTCCCCTCAGCCTCCTCCAGGCTGAACACCCCCAGCTCCATCAGCCGCTCCCCACAGGACTCGATGCGAGTGTTATGTGTAAGAGTGTGCACATGTATGATAATTTTGAAAGTTGTGGATCTTACGCGTTTCTCTTGAAAATATTTGGCTAATAGTCAAAAGTATAGGAATAAACAGCAACTAAGAGGTGGTTTGAAGTGGAGTTCTTTTAAATAGTCAACATTGTGTACATCTTCCATTTTCACAGCAACTTTGCGCTTTAGGTGCTCCTTTTTGATACTGAGTATTTTGCTCCAAGGTTATATAAGAACTTCATAGCTCTACTGCAGTTTTCTCCTGCATCAGGTTTTGAGCTTTGAAGAAATAAGATTCAGGATAGATCACACCTCTCTCTGGGCATTGCCTGTAATTATAGATGCCAGTGAATTAACAGTAACCTCTTTTTCTGTTATCATCTTGAGACACCCAGGCTTACAGAGAAGTAACTAGTGCTGAGATTTGATTGCAGGTCTCTTACTCTGTAGATGGAGCATTCTTAATGGGACGGAGAAGGGCTTGCTTCAGCTGGAGGGGCTGCCCTCCAGGTGTTAGCCACTGCAGCAGCATACCCTTTCCAAATTTTCACGGCTCCCTTTTTGAGGAGGAAGAGCTCTGAGAATGAATGTCTGGCTCCTAGCTTTAGTAATCTGAGACTTCTGAACCGAATGACTTGTTCATACCAAAATAACTCCCAGTGCCCAGAGAACATAGCAATTGACAGCATAAAACCCCACAGCTCTGTGAGCAGCAGACTGGTAGGCTACGCCTTGGTGCTCGCTCACTTCCTTAGCGGAATCAAAACAAACACAGTGGCAGCATTGCCAGCATGGCCCCTGTACTAGCTACCAAATCCTGTTACTGAGCATGTGTTTTGGTTTTGTTTTGCATTACCTCCTTCATTTCTACTTGGGATATGCAGAAGGTTAGACTCAAACCTTGTATTTCATGGCTTAAGGTGTTTGTTTTTTCATTTGTATTTTTAGCTGTAAAGATTCCTGCACTGATTATGTTATCTGCCCGTTGTGCAGTTCTCTCTTAAAACCAGAAAAATTCAATACGTGAGCCTGTGATGTATTACTGCAGTATACATGATGATAAACATGTTAATTTTTTCCAGTGTCCACCAAATCTGCATAAACAAGATGGGTACGCCTGTGACTCTAATCAGGTATGCAGTGTTTTAAAACCCCTGCACATCAGCAAATAGAAATCAACCAAACACATGGTTTCTTTTCTTTTTTTTCAATTCTGTCTTCCATGTGTGAGAACCTGGGCCAAAATGTGTACACCTCCTACCCAGATTCATGAAAACTGTTACACATCCCAATGGCTGTGTGAAGAATCAGAGACATTTGTTGGGGAGGGGAAGGAAATGAAATAATGTTCTGTTCTCGTTGCTAACGTGTTGTGTTCTGTTTAGGGTCGTTGCTATAATGGTGAATGCAAGACAAGAGATAATCAGTGCAAATATATCTGGGGATCTAGTAGGTTGACTTTAACTACCTTAAATGTATTGTATTTCGGGTTCAGTCCTGCCTTCATACTTTATTTTTTGTTTTTATTTCTTGCTTCTGTAAGGTAAAGCTTTCTGCTCAGGCTGCGGGGCGAAACGGTGGCTTGATTGCCAAATGAAATGTTGAGTTTGGGGGTGGTGAGGCTGTTCTGACATGATGTGGTTGCAGACATAGGTAGGTGGGGCAGCAGATGCTGGACTCTGGGCAAATTAGGTGAGAAAACATAAAAATACTGGCAACTTAAAAGATGTTTTGGGTTTTTTAATGAAAGTTGTCAATTCCATTATCCCAGTAGTGGCTGATGCTACAGCTGCTCCACCTTGCCTGTCTCTGCTATACCATCATACCAGTCAGGAAAATGAGTGCAGTG